TTAACGCATATTATTTTTTTTTTTAAAAAAAAAAAATAAATAAATAAAAACATGAATAAAAAATTGTTTAAATCATAATTTCATAATAGTAAAATTTTTTTCTCCATCTTTTCTTTCGTTCGTTTTTTGTCTTGTTTTAATTCCCTGTTAATAGGAAGGGCTTCCCAAGTGGTAATTAAACCCGGGAATGTGCGCTAAACCCTCAAATAATTCCTCCGTAATTTTCGTTTCTTCGGAGGATGTTAATGTCATATCCGTAGAGGATTTTTTATTTTCAGGGGCTATTATATTCATATATATATAAAATAGTTGACGTTAGTTAAATTTCCAAATTAAGAGAAGTGAAGTAATTTACTAACTTGTGCCGATCACCGGAGTAAAAAATTCGAACACTAGGGTTCGTTTTTTCCACTTTTCTTTTGTACTCAAATAAAGAGATTGAAAAATATCCCTTAATTCGGGATGTTCGGATTTGACATGCTTCCAAAGGTTCGAGGAAATCCTCGAAACCTGATGACGTTCATATTTATTGAGTATCCTCATGCACCTCTGCACCGGATTTCTGAAAATGATGAAGATGGTCGGTGGCTTACGACTAGCCACCCTACAAGTGCTCAACACATCATCACTCGTAGGGATGATGAATCGAGTATATCGACCTTCCAAACAAAACCAATATTCACCGTCATTTTGGCGGTGAATAATGGCGATTGGAGAAGATGGCGATGGTGACGACGAAATAGGACAGGATTGTAAAGGCATCACGATTTTGCCACGAGGGAAGTTTTATCTTTATAAAACAAAACTAAAATTCTTGGAAAAAAAAAAAAATCAAAAGCACGAAAAAAAATTGCTTCTTTTTATAATTGTCGAGGAGATGATTAAATGGTATTAGCATGATAGCATGGCATTCTTAAATAAACTATTATATGACAAATATGGAATTGTAATAATTTGACTGTAGAATTTTCAGCGCACGTTATAATGTAATTATATTTATTCGGAGTCCTATTTGCGGAATTTAGTACTGATCACGGTGTATGAAAGATTTGTTATTTTTTGATCATAAAGCAAATATTCGGCACATTATGAATCGATTAATTCAATTTATAAATTGGAGAAGTAAGGTTTATGTTTTTGCCTGCGCACAGATTATAATTTTCTTTTTCTTTTTTTGACGCGCACACATCATGCATTTCAATGCATGATGCAATCGTTTGAACTTATTTAAGTAGAGGGTAAAAGCGTGTTCGCTATATTAATCATTAAATGATTTCTTATTTACGAAAGACAACTCAACCTTATTGAATGACGCAAATGGAGAATTACGCGTTTGTTTGGCATTAATGCGTTGGTGTTACCTCCCCCGAAAACTAAGCCAAGACGATGTTCAAAAGAGAAAAATAAAAAGCAAAAATGAAGTGTACATTGTTGCCATTGTTAAAAAAGGCAAGTACATAATTTGTCGCGTATTATTTAAGTTTCACAAAAGTCCAAAATATTGAAAAAAATTTTCTCGTGTCTCGATTATGTGTCGGTTTGATTGGATATTCAATTAGCTTTTTCACTTTTTCCTTGTAAGGGATTCAAAGACAAATGACGCCTTACGATTAGTAAGCTAAGCCTAGTGAGTCAGTTTCGACATTTTAATTGTGATTTGTGTGATTTATCATCGACAAAATAGAATTCCATTAGACAGATGATTATGCGGTCGATTTATAAAAACATCAATGATCCTAGAAATTTTCTCGGATATTAATTCGGATCGTACTCTTTTTGATTTCATTTTAAGAGTACTTACTTCTTCAAAAAAAAATAAAAGTAAAAATAAAAATGTGATTTACCACCACAACAGCAACAACAATAATATTTCTTTGATGGGCTGACAGAAAAGGAATTCCTTCAATGACTTTTCATCATTTTATCAAAATTAATTTGCCATTTTTACGGAGTTCGTAAAAAAATCAACACAACATTTTAGTATCAATTTTTTTTTATGGATGGGACAATTGTAAAACGTTAGAAAATTAATAAATTCAAATTCAAATTTTGCGCTCATCATTAAAATGATCGCTCTGAACGACTATAATAAGAAGTCAGAATGATGGATCGACTTGACTTTAATCCGTTTCTTTTCGTTTTTCCGTTACAACTGAATAACTTTTTTTTTTTCTCTTTCTTTTTTTTTAATCATAAAAAAATTCCCGCACAAAGATGGGATTTTTCATATGCGTCGAAAATTTCGCTCTTCGCGTATGTTTCTAAAATTGATTTTTTTTAAAAAAAAAAAAAAAAGGTATCACAGGTTCGGAATTCCAAAATCCGGTTGAAACATTAGCGTTAATGAATATTTTTTTTTTTTTATTTATTTTGAGGAATAACAACAACGGTAATACGTTCGGTTTAAAATTATTTACAAATTGTATTTTTCAAATATGGTCATAAAGAAATGAAATAATTCCTGCATATAATTCTAAAAAGCAAGAGAAATCAAGATGAACCGTACTCGCATTTGTGAAATCCAATTTGGGATCATGCGATTCTTGGACGAATTGAATTGTAGCCAACGGAATTCATAATGCGTTCAATTTCATCAATCAGTGTTTCACTTCGATTATTGTGACTTTTAATTTCATCGATGAACCTATTATTAATCGCGCGTTCATGATCTTCCAAGAGAACATGTGAAACACGGAATTTGATAAAGCTAAAGGGAATATGTCGCGCTATTTATTTATCCCCCCCTTTTTTTTTTGAAACAATGAATTATAATTATTGTTATGACTTTTACGAATAATGAAAGACTAAGCCACAAACATATTGTGTAATGCAATGATAAACTCTCATTTCGGATCGAAAATGATATGGATGAAAGAAAAAAAATGATTCAATTGAATTATTTATTTTATTATTTTTCTTTTTTCATATAAAACATAGTATCATTGATTTCTTGAAGGCTGAACATTTTGTTTGATTTCATATAATTTAATGTACATTTCGTTTTTTATGGTGTTGAGTCGTAATGTTCGACAAATACTGCTATAAAGGATTTTTACTGGTTTAGCTATGATAAATAACAAGATTCACGTTTATGCAGGGGAATAGAATGGTAAGCGCAGGTCAATACATTTTGAGCGTTCAATAAAGAAACAAGCAAGCATATTGTAGACTCGAAAAAAACTACTCATGAATGAGATGCTAGGCTAATCGATACGAAATTTTGTTTCAAATTGGAAGATTTAAACAGGGATGAAGATTTGAACGAATTTTTTGGGGGATTTGGCGTTTTTGCCATGGTAAGGTAATTATGAATTAAGAAATCATAAAGAAATCGTATAGGGGGTCATTATTATTTTTGTTCTCATTTTGGACTCCGTCAAATAAGAATATTATGTCATTATCATTGATTAAGCTGCATAATCGCTTTGTATTTATTGCTTTATTTATACATTTAACATGTAACATTCAAATATGCCAAATTGTTTATTTTTATTTTTATTTTTAAATTTTTTTTTTCTTTGGTTCCGATTCAATGACAAAGAAATCCATTCAAAGTTCTTCTGATTCCTCAGCGAGAATTGTCGTTACGTAGAACGAATGATATTGATAAATTTTAATTACAATAAAAAAAAAATGACTGATAAATGTTTCACAACATTTATTTTTTTGTTTATTAGACACAATCTTTTTGTTTGTTACATGGTGGTCATACCCAAAAATTGACAACTTTGAAAAAATAACTGAAATGGTCTGTGTAAATCTTAAAACCTTAATGGGTTAGATCGTAACTTTTTGTGATGCACCTGCACCTGAACCTGACCTTATCATTATGAATAAAAAAATCACAATGGTCCGTCATGAGTTCGGTCATGAAAAAATCAACAATGGGAACTTACCCTCGTGACTCATCCTAGTTTATACGCTTATAAATTGAAAATAACACAATAGAAGACGCATTTTCCTAAAAGAATTGATACCGTCTTATCATTCACGTGTATCATTTCTCGCATTTATGCAAAGAATAAGCAGCTGATATGCTAGAATAAAGTTATTTGCCACTCATGACAGTTTGAGAAACTTCTTGATCAACTTGATGCTTGCATTACTTTTTGGTCATGAACAAAACAAATCATCACGAGTCGGAAAATTGTTAAACGTGATCAACAATCGTAACTATGTATGGAAAGATAATGACAGACTTATAAAACTGGGAACGGGAAGTTTCTTTCAAGTGAAAGAACAGATTCAACACCTGTCCAGGTGACAAAGAATTCGACACGTTCCGCATAAAATACACTCATGTGATACAATTAAGGGAAAAAACCCAAACTTTTATGCATCAAATGTCTATTTTTAAAAATTCCTTACTTTTTTGTATTACTTGTAATAATATTGTCTTTGCAACAACAAAAAAAAAAAAATCTCTATTTGTCGATGACAAATCGGATTATTTCTTCCGAAGTTGATGATATGATATTCTCACTTTTTAAATTAGCAATAAATTCTCAATCTAACCATTCTTAAGAGAAGAATAATTGAATTTATCTTAAAATCTAAGGTATAAACGGAATCCAGATTCCTTTTGCGAGGATGGAATAATCAAATTTGGCTAAATAATGCATCGTTACCGTCTTCTCTCATGTACAAACTCATTCATTCATCAGCGATTGATTTCGATTAGTTATCTTATCAAGATAAGGAACATGCTCCTTATCAAAGTTAATTTATTAGAATTGTGAATTTCGAGAATCATTTGTCCGAAACATCTAAATAATCTTCTAAGAAAAAATTCAAATAAATCACTTCTGACTTGATAAGCTGTTTCATCGCTTTGTTTTTTTTTATTATTGTTAAAAAAAAACTTACCTTCCAAAAAGAAGCTTATTGATGATAAAAAAAATAAAAAAAAAAAAAAATTGTTTTATTGGCACACAGCGTGATATTTTTTTTTTTTGTGTTTCCAAATATTAATTCAGGAAAAATTTTATTATAAAAGTAAATAAATACATATAAATATCGAATAATTTTCCGAAAAAAACAATCAAAAATGGAAATTCGATGTAAAACATTGTCTGAGAAAATAAATTTTTAAAAAAAAAAAAAAATTGTAAAGATAAAAATAATTTTTAAAAAAATTAAAATGCGTAATCTCCAAAATATTAAGTAAGGTCGCTAATTAAAGTAAATTTGTAAAATGTAAAAAAAAAAAAATAAAAAATAAAAAATTGACTATTAAAACCATTTATATTTTGTTTTGCAAAAATCTATTAAAAAACATTTCCCCAAGTATACACGAATATGTAACATGTATGAATAATCATTCCATTTTGATGTTAAAATTTGTACATAGTTACAATTAAATAAAAAAAAAACAAATAAGAAAATTTCACAAAAAAATGGAATCGTGGTTTTTAAATTGCAATTGTAAGCCAATTTTATCTTCATCACTAAGGTTGCCATAAAAGAAATCATAAGCATCTGTGTCGTCAAACTCAATTTTCGTTTCTTCAGGTTCTGGTTGAGAAGATTCTTGAATTTGGATTCCTTCAAATAATAGAGTCGTATCAACAGATACTTCAAACTGACAGCCTTGTGTAAAAATATCTCCAGGTGAATAACTCGATGGTGAACTATCCATATGAAAAATATCAAAACAACCTTCATCAAATTCGTAGAACATTGATTCATTCGATATAATAAAATCATCATCAAAAGAATCATCAACAAATTGAGAATCCATTAAATCCACAAAAGGTTCATCTTTTCGAAAATCTTTAGCGGTCATAATTTCGAAGCAAAGTGGATGCAAATTTCTTTCGTTTGAAGGTGGCAATTCCTTTCGTTCAAATGTTGAATTGGTGAAATTGGAAGATGAAAAGTTTTTTGTTCTAGGTTTGTGGCTTATAAAGGAAGGTGCACGAAATGTACGAAGGTAATTTTCGGCATTTTTTGACAATTGGGAGAATGCATTTTTCATATTTTCTGAAGCCACTTTCCAGACAGATTGGGCAAGAACACTAATCTTGCCCACATCAAATGAAGAGATTGTTGAGATGTTGAGCGATCGAGAAAAGAATGTTCGAAAGATTATAAAAGAATTTGGAAAACGAGCAGAATTTTCCCGACAAATTTCCAACGCCATTCTAGTACTAGGGAAACTAAATGATGACAAGATAAATAGGCCTTCAGAACTCAGAGAAAAGACAACGACCAAATGATCGTTGTGTTCGTTGGAAGCAGGGTTTTGAATTAAATAAGGCCAAAATTGATGATTACGTACAAGTTGTTGATTTTGCTTTTTCATTTTTTTTTTTTTTTTTTTTTTTTTTTTGTTGTTAAAAAATAAAAGAAACGAGAAAATCTCTTTTTAATCCAAAAAGATAAAAGTGAAAATCCAAAGTGTTTCCCCATTCAATTGAATTTATATAGAACAGCAACCATGTGACGAATAACATTTTCATTAAGTTCTCTTAGCGTACAATTAAATATAAAGAATATTATTAGTACGTGAATGTGATAATTATAAAAGTAAATCTTAATGATCAAATACCTAGAATAAACCTTCACGTGGCATTGTTTCCTATCTTCTAATCAGTAGTACGACACATTATAAATGGTTAAATAACGCGTCCCAATTCAATGTAAATGAAAATACTTTTCCCGTTATTAGTCATGCCACAAATATATGAATGGATGAAAAAAAAATAAATTAATATTTATTTATTTAAAGAAAAGCGTAGGTCACGTAAAAATAATACGGATTGCATAAAGAATAAAAGAATACACCCATCAATCCAAAAGAATTTTGTAATTTATGTTCTTTAAATTTGCTTTATTAATTTTTGATATAAAACATAGATTGGGATGAGTATAAAGAAGATATTTTACTCATATCCCTAATTTTGCACATAAAAAAAAAAAAAAAAGGAAACGCATTAAATTTGCCAAATAAAGATAAACAAAGAAAAAAAAAAAAAAATCTCTTTCAAAATGTCCAATTCTGTCTATTATTCTTTCAAAATGTTCTTTGTGGAATAATTCCCCCTGTTTTTTTTTATCGGCGCCCGAAAACAAAGGCGCGGAGTTCGGAAAGTGTGAGAAATTCCCAGAATATTGTATTACAGAAGACTGTTGGGTCAACTTATTTGCGTTCATGACGATGTGGCAAGCTCATTATGTAATCCATGACATGCATGAGGGAAAAAAACTCCTTCTCCTACCCTTAAAACTTTTCTCGAGACATTTCTACTAAACAATATGACAGGTTTTTTTGGATCGCAGCGAGTGCTGCGCTTTTAAGAACTCATCTGGATCAAAAATTTGGAATAAAAGTTCTTTTATCGGTTCGAAATTTTGATTTTGATTAATTAAAAATTTAAAAAAAAAAAAAAAATTTAATTTTCGTTGAAAAATTAATCGAAAAAGTTTATTACGAAGGATAAAAATTATAAAATTTTTAACCGCTCACAAAATAAAATAATTTCGTCCGTGGAAACCAAACCAGGACCCAACATCTTTATATATCAAAAAAGTTGATCCTTTTATTTTCGGATTCTAAATCTCCTTAATTTGCCTATTTTTGTTGCATAATTTTCGTCGATCAGTCAAGGGGCGTTATAGATTTGTATACAAGATGACATTTTAAATGAATCTATATTTAGATATTCGAAATTGAACATATTGAATGCAATACAATTCTTTTAATCAACCTATTTAAAGTTAAAAGAGATGGAAGATGAAGGAATTTCTCTTTGTTTGTGCATAGCTTACACGTCTATGGCTTATAAAAAAATCTGCTGCGACCTATTATTAACTAATAAAAAATTGATGCGTCCCCATTACCCCAATCCTTTTCTTTTATCTTTTTTGATCTCTTACAAAAAAAAAAAAACGTTGCCGAGAGTAAGGTTTCCATTGGTTTTGAAAGCGGAGATGTTTAAATTTTTGGCAATGTGATTGTGTGAGAATATTCGTGCTGAGAAATAGGAAATTTAATTTGGAAAAATTTATCCATTAGAAAGTGTATTTTGGGTATCAAATAAAAATAAAATTAAATAAAAAAATAAAAATGAAAATAAGTAAAATATAAATTTGAGGAGTCGTAATATAAATAACAAACCTGATTTACAATATCATAATATAAAAGAATTTACATTATATATAGACGCTTTTGAATATGCAAATTTCTTTTGTTCTGTCTTCTTTATGAATTAAGATAAATAAATATTTTTTTTTTATTCTTTCGTTGTAGTCAAAATAAAATGATTGAATAAGATAAATTAACAAATATGATAAAATAATGCAGTTAATATAAATTAACCATCACATCATGAATGGTTACTAATAATTGTACGTAGTATAATGTTTATTACTCATCGCGACTTTTTTTGCGATTTGGACTAGTAACAGCTACTTATATATTTATTTTCGGAGAGTAAATTCTCCTCATGTGGCCTAATCATTCAATTATGGGAAAACATTTTCTGCATCAAATTCAAGAATTTGCAAAAAAGGGACGGTGACAAAAAGTGAGTGTGCAGAACAAAGAAACTGCGCCGATACCGATTCTGGATTTCATTTTGTTATCATGCATGTATCGTGTGATGTTTCCTAAAAAAGGCAAATCATGGGTCGTATTTTTTGTTGACATCTTTAAATTATATTTTTTAGTTTATTTTTAGTTAACGCTCGTTATGTTTTTAGACTTTGATAAATAAATCAACTTTCATATTTGGTAATTATGGTAAAATCAACCTCGCTTTATTTGGTAATTTGGATGTACGTACTCCGTAACAAATTTGTTAATTATATTATTTCCAAATCAATAAAAAAAATAAAAAAAAATAAAAAAAGTCATTCATCTAAATAACCGAAAGTTAATAAAATAAATTAAAAAAATTGTAAATCCAACCTAAATCATTTTTCGGTGTTTTAGTTTTCGCAAATTTTTTTCATCCGTTAAAACTTAAAATTTGAAATAAATATATTTTTTCAAGAGAAAAGAGTGGTGCTACCAATATACTTGTGGTAATCATCCGGAATCCGGAATTAAAGACAAATAGTAGATAAAACTGACAGAATTTTAAAGCATTTCAAACGCTGTCAGAATTTTAAAGATTAATATAGTCAACAAGAAAAAAAGAAGTTTTTTAAGAATGAAGTTAATGGAAATTTGGGTAAAAGAATAAGAATTTTGTTGTTTATTATTTTAAAATATTATTTAACGCTCATATTTTACATTTTTTAATATGAAGTAATTCTTTGCCTTCTAATTGATTAATACGATCCTCATAACTATCTACCTTCTCATTGGTCAATTAAGATAAAAAAAATTCCATCATTTATTACAGATTACTATTTCTTGTGGATTTCCATTATCTTGGTTAAATAATCCAGAGGTTATGAATTGTTTAAATTTTTCATCCCACAAAAAAATTACCAGAAAAAAATCTTATCAACTGAAATTTTAAGCGATGTTATTAAAAACTTTGATAGTATAATATAGAAAATTGGTATTAAATAGAATAGGAATACTCTTTCATTTGATAAATAGACCAATGTTTCTGAACAAGAATTATTAGAAATAGTGCTAAAGGATAGCTTGATTAGGGATTGAAAATGATTTCGATATTTAGAATCAATTTGAGAATCAATTTAATCGAGAGTTTTATGTTTGAGAATACCCATAATAGATTAAACTAAATAATTAAATTAAAAAAATAAGGATATACTGTACATATACAAATTAAAAATTAAATTAAATTTTTTAAATTTTAAAAAAAAAGTTTAAAATCCAAAAATAAAAAAAATTCGTAGATATAAAAAAAAATATTTAAAAATTAAAAATAAAAAAATTAACACTATATACAGTTTATGCTATATAGATATTAGTGTCAGGTGATTCTACTTTATATAGTAGAAGCTATGACCATTTCAAAAAGGAAAGAATAGGTATAAATTTGGTTAGCTTTATGCAGGAACTATGTAAGCCATTTTTATTTATATTGATATTAATATCAATATTAATTTCAATTTCAATTTCAATATCAATATCAATATTAATAGGAACAACAGTTATTTATATATGATTTTTTTTAAAAAAAAAATTGAAACTGAATGATTACAATTACTAATTATTAATTTAAAATAAATGAAAGAATTCATCAAAACATATACTGCAGTAATAAAAATCCTATTTTATCTGATAATTTCAGCTAGGATGATCTGATCTCAATCTAATCTAAAACTGTCTAAATCAAATAAATAAGATAAAATAAATAAAATTAGTAATCAAACTAATTACTAAAATAAGAAAATAAAATAAAACAATAAATCAAAAAAATTAGTCAGCTCATCTTATCCGTGATAATGAACCAGTTAGATCTGTTCAAAAGTTTTGTTTGATTTTTAGCTAACTGATCGAACCTAAAAAAAAAGCAAAATAATTATCAAAATAAGAAAAGAAAAAAAATAAATCAAAAAAATTAGTTAGCTTACCTTCATCATAATGACGAACTGATCAGTTTTATTCAAAAGTTCTGTCTAGTTCTTAGCCTAAGAAAAGGACTTAAATAAATAATAAAAAAGTTAATAAAAATATTATTAATTAAAAAAAAATAAATATTTATTAATATACTTAAATAAAAAGAAAATTTAAGTCAACTTACCTTCGCTATAGTGATAAGTCAGTCAGTTCTATTAGTAGTATTCTAGGACATATTAATATATTAATATATTAATATGTCCTAGAATACTACTTGCTTAAGACTAATATACCCTAGAACGTTATAATCTATCAATTAATATTTCCTAAGGCATTATAATCTATCGATTAATATGTCCTAGAATGTTATAATCTATCAATTAATATATCCTAGGATGTTATAATCTATATATATAGTATGGACCAGTACAGACGATTGGTATTGACCTCTTACACCTGAATGAATGTCAAATTCTATTTTTGGGGTTGCTGGCTTTCTGTAGCTGTTTAGATATCTGGTTTTATATTGAGGATGTGGGCCTCCTGCATCTGATTGGGTGCTAGATTTTATATTGGAGTGTTTACCCTTTACGCCTATTTGGTTACCTACCAGAATGTCAAAATATAATAAAAATATTGGGTATGCTATAGGCGTACTG